TGAATTCTTGTTCAGGAAATGCAGATCAGATGTCTTAGTGCCTACAAAATGAAATCCACCAATACTGAGGGCAGTAGAACTTTATACATGTAGTGCAGTGAAACTAAAAGTATAGGTCTTCTTAATAGGCAATGAAACATATGAAGACATCCGTTTTAATATAAGGGAACGATCAAGCGATCCTATGACCATTAAGTAGAGTCTGCTTTTTGTTTAAGTAATCCCAAAACACTCAGAGGTAGTTTGCATGCAAAGATTAATAAAGTATTTATAAGATGTATAATTTACGTATAAAAGGAAGCATAGAGATGATGGGTTTAAATTAATTGTTTAAAAACAAAAGCAAAAAAGCTTTTTTATTTAACTAATGAGGAGGGCGAGGCGCTTGGGAGAACTCGAAGGAAAAACTGAGTGGAGTAGATTACAAATAAATATGAGAGTGTATAAAAGAAAAGAAAGAAAAATATGGAAAGTGAAATCTGTTTATATGAAAAAAAATGTATAAAAAAATTTAAATATGAACGACAGTGAAACGAAAAGTAATGTATCATGTGATGTAATAGATTTCAAGGGAAAATAATTTATGCCTGAACTAAAACTAAAATAAATTTTTAGAACTCTGGAATTTTCAACAATCACTATCATAATAAATGAAGAGATTTAGATATATAAGTGCAGAAAACAACACTCAAAATGTTCATTCATCAGAGCCTAAGCGGAGTGAAAATAGTCAAGCATAAAGCATAAAGAAGTGAAATTGTGAGCAAATGGGAACGGCAAATAGCCGGGTGGAGTTAATGAGCAGTAGGTCAAGAGCAAAAATAAAAAGAATACTGTAGTAACGAGTGTATAACAAAGAATCCAGTTATTAATCAAATGATAATGTCCATGCCGAAAGATTCTTTCTGAATGGTAACAGCAGCGAAACTCTGTCTTCGAAGAAGACCTGACATCTGGGTACTACCTTTATCCCATAAATGGGTTGGGACTGAGTTACATAAGGCTAGTAGCTGCAACCAAAGATATCGGGTCGATACAAGAATTTCTTAAGGGTGTAGACTGAAGGTAGAACCATAGAATGATGCATGTGAGAATGAATCTTAAGCTTATCCTCCTGTGTTGCGTCAAGATCAAAGGAACTCTATCAAAATTAATGAACAATGGCTAGCTAAAGCGACTAGAACAAAGCTTTCACAATTTTCCTAGCCAGGAGTAAAAGCTTAAAAATAAGATTTATCTTACAAGGGGATCTATTTCCTTAATGAACCATTTGTAATTTCAGGGCATTCTTCTCCAGAACTTTGAAAGTTCACAATATAACCAATCTTATTGAAACGAGAGGGAATCGAGCCCTGTGAAGATAGAAAGTCTTGCTTGTTAGGTCCCTGAGAGGCTTTCTAGCTCCGAGTAAAAACACTACTTCATAAGATCGGTACATCCTTGAATGCCATTGTAGTTAAAATTCCATTTTGTATTATCTCTACTTTGAGGCTCAAACTGGATGTATATTGAAATCTTACTGTTCTATATATATATATACCAATTTCTTTGAATATATATATAAGCAATCACTGAGGCATTTAATAAAGGTGCTTGGAAGATTGGTACTCGCAAAAACTATCCTTAAATGATGTGAAAAGCGCAACTATATCTGGATTCTCACTAGAACCTAGAATGACTAAGATTTGTCAGACAATGATTCTTGCTCCAGAATCAAAAAAGAGAAGAAGTGCTGTCAGTAAAAGTAATAAAAGGGTGGAGCAAATGCAATTTGGAAATGCAATTTGCAGGCAAGAAGGGACGCATAGCAATCGAGAGCGATGGAGATAGATAAATGTTTGGATGAATCATCTACCATACTGTAATTCATGGCCACCATCTGATATTATCCTTAGGCCAAAAGTCACGCAGTTAGGGCTAATTATCAATTGAGCTAGATAAAGTGTTGGATAAGTCTAACCTCGACACTTATATGGGAAGTTAGAGACATGTGCAAATGGATCTTAATTGTGAACTAACTACCACTTGCCAGAATACTAATATAACAAATCAGAATTTAACTGCCCCTTTGTTTCATCTAACACTTAATATCCTGATATAGTTTGGAAATTAACATAGGATGTATTGCATATCCATACAAAATTTTCATATGAGCATTTGACTTGATAAACTTGTTTTGAACTTTGGATTGTGTTTAAAAGAGTAAAAATTGTAATTAAGAGAAGTGGAGGTCGAATTTGAGGAAGAATGCCTTGTGGATAGGATCAACTAAAACGTTGCAGTAAAGCCAAACGACAGTTAATAGAGGAATCCAGCGTCGTCTAATGATGGGATCTGCCTTCGAATCTCAGCATAACAAAATTCGCTCGAAATGAAGGTAGGCTCACCAATATAAAATAGCAATTCATTCAATCACATGGGCAGGTGTATATAAGGATGCCAATATATCTTAGCCAAGATAATAGTAGCCCGAAGCCTGCCAAAACTTAAAATCAGTCATTTAGAGCTATCTTCTACTCGTTTGCTACATTAATTATAAAAAAGCGAAAAAATCAAAACATGCAAAGAATGGCACCTGAAACAAAAAATGTTCTAATATGATGAATCTAAAGTCCCTTTCCACTGAACGGATAATAATGAGTACAGACAAGACTTGGAATTGTGCGTGCTGGACTATGCGGAGAAGGTCTCGGCTCAACATCCTGCGACTCCAATGAATCTATACTGAGCTTTCTTTACCATGTGACAGATATCGTCAGAGCACAAATAAATAATTTAAGAAAATTTCACCAAAGCACTAAACCAAATCATTTCATAAATGATGGTTTTAGACTCTAACGATATCTGTCGCATTACATACGAAAGATCAGGACGAATTCATCGGGATTGCAAGAGAGTGAACCAAGGTCTTTATTCGCGCAATATAGTTGAGCCTTTTAGACACAATAAAAGGAATCTCAAAATGGATAATACTATTTCATTATAAGTTGGATAGTTAGACAGTTTTAGCAAAAATAATATAATTTTTCAAGTCTGAGGCGTTTTTCTGAGGATTCTCTATGTTTTAATAAAAGTTGTTTGACTTTGCTTTCTCAACTAGTTCATACTGGTAGGAGGACCTAGAGGAAAGCACCTTGTCCGAATTCCATAGTATGCATGATAATTTCAAGTCGGACTGTGGACATGGTACATTCCCACGCGTTTCGCCAGCCTTGCTATTCTTAGCACCACACTACAACTCGTCAAAAGAGACAAGTGAAGTCGATGCTGTGACCAAATGCGTGCCGAACAGTTATGATATCTCTCATTCTGTCCAGGTTTATTAACCTATCCTATATACTCCTATCAACCCTTTAATATCACAATTTATTACTTGTTTATCCAGGTAACTTATATGCACACACCATACTGGTCTTCATATCTTTGACTAAATTATGTGTTGATTTCGAAAATGAATATGAAACTTTCAGTGAAAATCTTAATAATTGAGAAGACACCTTTGGAGTAGAAATTCATGCCGATATTAAGAAAATAGCATAGGAGCTCATTGAAAGACCAAAGGTCAACCAAACGATTGCTACCGTGAGTGGTTATATAATTGCACCGAACAGGTACAATGCTTTCTCTCATTTAGTGGCAGGCGATAATAAATTTGTAGGCTATTACCAAGACAACCGCAGGGCAAATATTAAACTAAGACGCAAAAAAATGAATATAATTTAACCCCACCTGCCCATCGTGTCACCTATAAATGATCAGAGATAAAGGTCTGCTCTCTTTACCCCATGATTTTTACCTGGTCTCGGTAAGGAAAGGCTTTTATTACGAGACCAGTTTTTAATTAGCACACAAGCGGCAACATCAGCAAGTACATGAATGAATGAATGCTAATAAAACTCTATAGGCACTGGGTATAAATCCCCAATCATGTCGAGGCCAAAATGTTATTAGTAATCTATGAACTAAACTTTAAATAAAACGTTTGCAGAGAAAAAAAAAGAGGCAGACAACGGATAAAAAACATCGACAGTATTTCAAATACCTCCATTGTAGATATCCATAAAGCAACATCAAGTTCCTGAAAAGTTAGATATTTAAATGCATGAGTGACGGAATGAATCATTTAAATGATAAAAAAGATCCTTAAAATGTCAATTTTAGCCTAATTATCCACGAAAAACTTGTCGAAGGCCTAGATTTAGTCAAGCCTCCTTGTCCTTTATTTTTATATACAGACCATTCTCACTGAAACGGAAAAGACAAGATATAATTTGTATAGACAACAGTGTGCAGATAATATGAGATGTATTCAACCTATTTCGTTTACAGTGAGGAAGTACTGGTATTTGGATCCACTGACAGTCTTTAAGTCCTACTTATAAAGGAAATACTGTGTAGATAACCCAGAAAAGTTTCATTGGAAAACCGAAGAGAGAAAAATAGAAAAGTCGTATCAGAGCTTACGCAGCCTAATAGCAATTTCGCTAATCTGCAGAGAAAAATGATAACTATGCTCTAAAATTATCTGAGTTTTTTAGGGAACAGAGATATAGGCCTTGCCTGCTACCGCTACAAAGGAAATGAAGTCAGCGAGAATAGGAGAGACTTGCAATTGGCAAAAGATAAGGCTATCTTACTAGTTCGTTAGAGAAATGTCAGTTTTGTTAAATAGGTACAAATACTGTGAAAATTCTTTCGATATTCTAAACACAGCTGACTTATAGCATGGTTGCTAAGTTCTCTCCTATTAGACTTCAATGGGATAATTGGACCATACTTATTAGCAAGACTAATGATGCACTCATAAAATACCGGAATGACCAGTTTCCCTACAAATAATGAATATTCCATAATAAGTTTGGGTCGTAAAAATAGAAGACTAAAATGAGGCGAACGAAATGCTGAGTCGAAAGAAAGCTAAAAAGTAGCTATTGAAAGAAAAACTAAGCAAGCCAAAATAAGCTTGCCAATCGTGGCATGTGCATTTAATTTCAGCAGAATCAGTCAGTGCTGTTTAATAGGCAACAGTTATGAGTCCTAAGGGAATAAACAGCACGACCCACACTCACGGTGATCAGCTTGCCCAGATTTGGCATCTAAATTATAAAGGTGTTATATTGAGAAATGACATCTTGTCCAAATTGTCGGACTGATTGGACAACGAAAAGCCAGAATTAGAAAGAAAAATAAAAGAATAGGCGAAACGATGATGAAAAAACGATTGGGCAAGTACATAGAAACAGTTCGGCACGAGGACTCAAGTAGAGTGGAAGAGATGCCAAATACAATCATTTAGTATACAAATAGTAAGGAATATTAGGAGTGAACAAATCTAGTCGAATTAGAAAATAATGAAACCTAATGGGAAGAAACGAGAGAACTCCGATCAAAGCCAAGTAGTAAAATAATTGTATAGATAAATGTAAATTTTTTATTACAAAAATTAGCTAACCGACAAGGAGTGAGGTAATGCAAGAAAAATAGTACTGCTGCTAAACTTGTTTTTTTCATCCCATTTTTATCTGTAAACCCCAAATATAAATGTTTGTGAGAGTGTAGTAATTCATAATAACCAAAAGTGCCTAATACTTCATAATTCCTTATAGAATCATAAAGATTTATAAGGTTGTTTATGCTAGGCAGAGGCCTGAGGAAATGGGTGGAAATGATTCAAAAAGGGGAAAAGTAATCTGGAAGCATAACATTGGGTTGTGTGCACGAAACGTTTATTGCATGTGTTCAAAGGCATAGTTTTTCTTTAATAAATAAAAAAGCCATGTTTTCAGCGAAAATCATAGTCCCGAAGTAACGCTCACGTACATTAAATTAACTGCTGTATGAATCTCCAACATTCTTAAACGAATGTGGGCTATAAGATAGATCAAAGATGGTCTAGAACTTACGAGTAGAAGTATGAGATGGCTCATCTTCAAGGCTCTAAGTCACACAAACAATGCGCACTTCAGCCAGTGGCAACGACGGATCAAGCTGTTTAAGCTTCAACTCAGTTTGACTACATACAGTAAAATTGACCTTTTTAGAGGTTTTATTTCGCTTAACCCTATATTTGGACATTGCTTGCCTCCTATAGTGCATGGCAATTCCGGTTGACCGAAATTCGCTCCATAAATCCTAGTTCACAAGAGTGAATTCAGCTCAGGCCAGTGTGTCAAGCCCATATTGTGCTACACGTCTCGACTATCCGTTGGTATCAAGCTATTATATTGGCGCATTTTTAATACCTTCATACACACTTTGCTAAGGCTAGAAATGTTCTAACCTTCAGGTACATATCACCTTACAAGTTCTCAATTTCACAGTTGCTATCTTAACCATTCCAATATAGCATAAATGTTGTGCTCCAGATCTCGAACATTCCGGATCGACCCGAGCATACCCCAGGCCCCAAAGCCTGGGGAAGGAATCAAAGGAACATTTTTGGTTCATTGTAATGATGCCTGCTTCAAGGCAACCACTTCCATGTCAGAACCCAGCTTTCGGCTAAATCACTAGATGAATATCTGACGGCCCTGTTGTCATGACAAAACTAGCCTCATTTTTACATTACGTCCCAAAGTTCATTATTTTTCTGGTCTTTCTATTTAGAAAATTAGGCTAGTGATTGGAGTACCTTTATTTAATCGGAGTCATTATGACATTAAACGGCTTTGAGTCAAAGAATTTACAACCAGACCAGTTAGATCGTCTACACATGGGTTTAATGAAAGAATTTCGGATAATACACCTATGAAACTAAAATTTCATATAGTGGTAGGCAAAGTCCTTGATAACCTATAGAATATCAACACAAAAGATGCTACATCATGAAGCAAAGTACTATCAAAAATGATAACGGAAAAAAATTCTCATTTAAGAAATTCCGCCTAGCATGCCATTTAATGTAATGATTTTACTTTCTGAAATTCTCAAAAATCTTTTCTCTACGGTGACCTTGCTACGAATAATGCGACGTGCTATGTGCAATAATTGTCTGCAAAGCAAAGAATCTAATGACTACGAAATCATACTACAATTGGCCAAATAGATATAAATGCAGCTTTCATAGGCTATGCATATTCCAAAAATTTGTTATATGTAAAAAAAGTTATTATGATAAGAAGGGAAATTAAATACATAATACCTGCAAATCAGGGGGCAACTGAGTGACACGCTGGCCTAACAAGAAGGCTGTGAGCAAATAGAAGAGCTCCGGCTCGGGAGGCGGCCGAGGCAGCAGAACCGGAAATATGGTATTTGGCCAGTCGGTAGATGAATTATTATTTCCTACACTTGAAGATGTCATCATCTTTCTATCCGAGGGCACATGGGATCGAGTCCTTTGCTCCGAGGCTGATGCCGGCTTTCCACTTGTGGCGCTAGCTACAGAGCTGCAGACCCGAACTTTGTCAGTGCTGGTGCAGGCCAAAGGAAGTGTACTGACATGGAAGGCGATTGGCTGAGAAGTAGTGGAAGCGGTGAGCAAGGCGCGGAGTGCCAAGAAGCCAGGTTGCTGGCATGCCGCCAAGTTGAGCTCTTGCATGGCCAGACTTCGAGAGGCTGAACGACTTGCGGCACCAGACGAGGCGCCTAAAGGGTAGTATGAAGTGAAATAAAAAAATGGGAAACTTTTCGCTGGCCTCAAAATTTTGTCAAACAGCAAACTTTGATAGATCATTAAATAATTACTAAGTGAGTTCTAATGTGCATTGCAAGAGCTAAACTCACTACGAGTCTAGTGACGCTAAGTTTAGACTGAAGCATGGGCATCAAAATCTCAATTAATTAAAATTGGGACTTCTGCTCAAAAAGACGAATAGATATCAAGACAGATCAAATTATGCTAATAGGCCTAAGCAGTATGGATAAAGCAATGCTATCAGGTGTAATAGAAAATACAAATTTGCTCAATAACAGATCTGAATTGGGAGGCCTGCCTGCCTGCCCTGTATTACATAGGCACCTGGAGTTGTGTGGTAAAGTAGGAAAAGATGCCAAATGATGTGCGGAACCTAATTTTGCATTGTAATGGGGAAAGTGAATGGACTCAGGATACGGTATAAATTAAAGTGCAGCCAGAATAAGGAAGCCTTTTTGACTATGAAAATTTGGCAAATGTAAAGCATACTAAAATATGAGCAGGTCAAAATAAATGTTGAATGTACTTCCATTTCGAGTGAAAGGTCGATTCCATCAGAAGACGACAACGGATTCCTTGTGACCAGTTGTTGATTGGCTTTACTGAAGCACTCATGTTGACGCTGTTTTCGTGGTAATCTCCTTCGTATGTCATATGACGGACAACATCAGAGTAAGTTATTATCTTCACAACTAAATTTAAGCTAACAAGTAAAAATACTCACTGGTAAATCCTTAAAAAGCTCTATATATACTCTAAATCTGGCTTCTTTGATAAGGTATAAAGTGATTTGGTTAGTTCCGGTCATATGCAAATTTCGAAGCCTGTGAGTGCGTCTGTCTCTGTATGTGTATGTGCCTCTTTGTGTTCGCTTATGCACGAAACCGGCAGTGATGGCTCAAAGTAATTAGGACGGCAAAATTAACGTCTGTTCTCGGCCATCAAGGTTTGATTATCACTATCTCCCCTTTCTACATATATGTTGTAACCATCACTCTGATTTACAAGGTCGGACACCTGTCTGATTATGTTGATGAGTCTTTTCGTTTTTGGTCTTCATGCGAGAGAGAAAGAGTGAGCCAAAGTATAGAGAAACAAGAGATTCCTCAAAACTCAACTTTTCTTCGCATACAAAATTAATGTATTTAAACTAGCATACAACACAACTCTTCATTCGATGTGGGAAGTAAGGTAGAAGTGGTTTGTAGCTTAGTTCATCAAGAAACCGAAGGATGATTGCCTTGCGGCCGGTGGTGTAGCGTATAATCACAGATTCTAGCCTATAACTTCACCGATTTGAAATTATACACGAGATCTTAAAAGTGGTCATGATAAAATGACCTATAAAGCATGCATAAGATCTGTATTGACAATGCATAGGATGGTTCTGGGCTGAGAAAGATATAAATTAATCAAAGCTTGGAAAAGTGAGTTGATATCATAGGTAATCGGGAGAATTTATTCTGAATTCACTTTAGGCAGATAACCAATCAATGCTTCACCGCCACTTGAGGAATATAATCAGCTTTTATATGCTAAATGAATATGCGGCATGGAGTGCGTCAAAAGAACAGTATAGAGTAGCAGAGTAGAAAAATATAGTATTGGTTGAATCTAGATATCATAAAACGTCTTTAAATAAAAAAGCAATTTGTACTAAGGGAATCCACATGAGAGAAGGATGAGATTAAGGGATATGTACAAGAATAGTTCGGGAGGGAAGCAAAATATGCATATATATAAATAAATAAATATAGTTATATAATATACCTGTCTTGGAGTTGGTATAGAGGATCATATTGAGCTTACTATTACATGTGAACATTGGTTACTCTCTCCTCTTCTCTTACAACACCAGGAATCTGCCCTCTTATAAAACTCTAAAAACTGACATTCAATTGGCTAAGAGTTAAATTTTAATTAATGCTTCCGGTGTAAAATGAAATAAAACAAAGATATAAAGCAAATAAAGGTAAAAAAAAGAAAAACAGGAAACAATATTGAAGTAGCATAAGAAAAAGGTGAAAATGTAAAGGCTAATTTGGTTACCGAAAAAGAGGCCATGTTGCTTGGTGAACACGACTTCACAGCCATGCAACCAACGACCTGCCGGGCGGCCGTTACGAAAGGCAACCACACCACTGGTATCAATGCCGCCGCCACCCCCGACTGAGGCACCAACACACCCGAGGTTTACACCAACACCAGTCCCGGTTCCAAGGCCCATCCCGGCAGTGATTCCAGGAGCGCAACTGCTGGAAGCCGATCCGAGGGACGAATTCGAGTGTCCTGATGTCCCACTCCCGACTGACCGGATGGCTCCTGACCCTCCACCAACGCTGGTACCGCGGGACGGACCAACCGTTGCCTCGGGTCCAGCGGCCTCTAAACTGGCCTGACCAGTAGAAGGAGTCCAAACAGAGGTGCCAGGCTCGGTTGGTGCGGAAGAACAAGGTCCCCCTCGGAAAGAGGACCCTGAACCTGCAGAACCAACTACCCAACCAGAGGTTCCACCAACAGCACTACTGGAGGCTGCAAGGCCCAAAGCACTTGGAGTCTGATGACTGCCTATTTTACGAGGATTGCTGGAAGATCGGAGCCCAGCAGCCGATGCACCTCCCGGCAGAGAACAGCCCCAATCATCGAGCGGAGTTGCTCGGGGCAACGAATAGCCAGGGTTGAGAACCAGATGGAGGAGAGTATGAATGGCCAGAGGAGAAGTGGACGAATGAACGTTGGGCCGCAGAAAGAGAAGAAGCCAGTCAAAGCCTAAGCTTGCTACGGTCTCGTTGCACATACTAAGCAAGGAGAAATATTTATGGATAAAGAGAAAAAAGATGAACTTAAAAACGATGCCGCAGTGAATTTTGAGTATATCCTTTAAAAACTTGAGTAACTCCTTCTAATTCAGGTCACCATTTGAGTAGACCCACAATACTCATAGCATAAATTTAAGTCAATGGTGCTGCACGTCTAAATTATGCCTCATGAGCAAGGCGCGTATAGGGTGCTTTCGCTTATTTAAAGACAAATTTAAATGCCTCAGTTCAAAGATTACATAGACACCTTTATTTAGAATTAAGCTAAAATAGAGCCTATACAAATACAAAAAAAAGACGATGTGCTAGATCTAATGGTACTATTCTTAGACTCAAATGAATTTTAGTCGGGAGTGCAGCCAAGAGCACAAGGAAAAGGAACAAGAGATGAATGAATTGACCTGCCCTAACATTGAAGCGTTAACGGCCCATTAGTTGAAAAAATCTCCCTCAAATTATAAAAAATGAGATGTATTCACCCAATTCGCTTAAGGTGATGAAGGACTGGTAGAAGAAGAATTTTCCCAAAATGATATCAGTTGAGCTGACGTTTCCATTGAATTTCACATAGCTTCCCAAAAGTTGTTCTCATCCTGCATTTTCGACCTCGCATCGTTCTTATCAACACCCTCAGCTGGAGTCGAACCGCGACAGTGTTGATAGACCGATGCGAGGTCGAAGCTGCAGTTCACTGGTGCCTGGATGAGAACAACTTTTGGGAAGCTAGCTTAACTCATATCATTGTGGAAAAATTCTTATTCTATCAGCCCCTCATCCATATAAACGAAATTGGGTCAAGATAATTCATAGATTATTAAATGAATTAGCAATCATTTCTATGAAATGCTTAATACGAACCTTTAAGCTAATTACCCAAAAGCCATCCAGTCGACTAAGCTCGGCTGCCGGCTTAAAGACACAAGCTGCATACGAAAAACCGTTTGGCACTCACAACCTGTTTTCGGCTTCCCCGTTTGATCCTTAGAAATAACAAAACAGAATACAAACGGCCATCACTGCCTTTATTTTTAATCATATAATGGTGTGAAAACTCTAGTCTTTCATCGCCTTAACGAAATAGGGTGAACACATCTCATATATATATTCTATCGGCAGTCTCTAAAAACCTCTTATAAGCAAAAAATAGTTTATACTATTTTGAGCCTTTCGTCTTCTTCTGCGTTTGTAAGACCAAGCATAAGATTAAACCGTTCGAAAAACCTACTATATGCAGCCTGTTTGCTATGATAATATAAAATTACGAGAAAAACCATAATGACTGAGAGATCTGTACTGGTTCACCTGCTAATATTTTGCATAAGGGGACAGCAAAAGAACGAATGTATTTAAAAGAGCTGCATTATTCTAATTATCTTTTTGGCTTAGTCGATAATCTCTAGTAATTCCTCATAAGAAAGAGGACAAGAGAAGAAAGAAATGAAGAGTGAAAAAACGAAGTGACAGCGAAAGGCACCTACTATTACTTCCTCCATATCACTGCTGGGCTAAAGTAGAATTAAAAAATCTACTTTAGAGTGCATAACTTTGTTTCGCATGGAATAATT